GATAATGATACGTAATTATAATCGTAAGCTTCTATTAACTGGAAAACACTTTCAGCAATTTACATAACGTAATCGCCCATTCTTCTCATAATACGAATAAAATTTAAAAAATTGTTCAAAGTATAAAGAATATTGTTTCTGATTTTCCAGGTGGAACAACTGCTTCTCATATTTCACCATCTAACATAAAAGTAATTACGTCTTTAAAACATCCTCAAGCATTTTTCTACGATTATTCTGCTACACTTTAAACAGCTACTGCGGTGTATTTAGGTTAAACAGAAATAAAACACTGTTGTTAACAGAAACAATTGTACCATACAATTTATTAATTATCAATTACTTTTTTCAAATTACATTTTCCAAATGACCCTCGTTCTTCTTACCATCGCTTGGTAAAGAAACGAAAACTGTATCAACTCGTTAAACATCCAATTAGAGTTTCCAAGTGAAATTAACGGACTCGGAGTCTATTCTTAATTGTCAACCGATCGAAAAATCAGAATATACGAAAAAAGTTTTCGAGAAATTTCTATTTCGACGAACGAACCGACGCCACGCGGTGATCGTTACCGACGAAAATTTTCAGAGTGGCGAGAGAAGTGTGACCTTTTTTTCAAGTAATTCACTTCGCACTAACTCCATTCGACTGTCATTATACAACAAATTCTCTAGCCGAGACGACTTTTTAATTGCCCGTTCCGTCACACAGCAGCAACAGGCCAACAGGCAACTGCCAGTTATCGCACACTGTCCTTTTTTATTTCTTTCCCTCCTTCGTTTCGTCGTTTTCCCTCCTCGCAATTCCACGCTGTGCGGAGGAAGAGCGCGAGAACAGGCCGAAACAGAATTCTGATTAATTGACGTGGCTTTAATTAAACTTTTAATTAACGAGTCGAAAACAAAGAAGGTTTCGGGGATCAGGTGTTGTTACGGCCGTGAACCCCGCACGATTAACTTGGAAACAATAGGAAAAGGTCTTATTGCGACAAGACGGATACACCCACTGGTCGAGTTTATGCGCATAAATTTGCACAAAATCGTCGCCGTTTAGCCGTCATCTTTACCGTTGTCCGTTTACGAAACTCGGACTCGTCGACGTTCCTCGAACAAGAACAACGAAACGAGACCGCGGCGAAAAATTGTGCCACTATTTTTTTTTCCACCGACCTGAAAGTACGAGGGAAGTTTTTTTTTTTGGAAATTAATATTTCCAACCGATCTGATGGGAGAGTGCAATAATCCTTGGAACAATGCCCTCCGCTGTTCTATTCAGAGAAACTTTGTGAAGAAAAAAATTGATTTTGGTATTAATCTTATCATGACAGAATGGCGAATTAGGGAGAGGAATTTTGTGGACATCGGGAACAATGAACGTGTATTTCCGCGTTGAAGAATTGATAATCCGATTATTCTGATTATTCGGAACGAGATCATTTTTGTAGTTATTGTGCAATTGTGAAAATTGAGGATAGGATGAATTTTTGAACGTTTGTTCGCTTGAAATTTGTTGCGTCAAAGTTTGTTTTATTTAATTACATTCACAAAATGGCAAAATGAATAAATTAAAAAAATGTGTTCAAGAGTTGAAAAACATTTTTTGAAAATTACCTTGGTAAAATGAATAGATAAATAATAAAATATGTTCAAGAGTTAAAAGACATTTTTTGAAAATAATTTGCCATAAAGCTTGACTAACACTCAAATTTGAGGAAAGAGTATTTTTTTAAAAATTAAGTACACTTCTTTCATACTTACATGATTAATACTTCATTTTGTGAAAGAAAGTGCTTTGTTCGAAATGTTTAAACGAAATACAATTACTGTTTAAGAATTAACAAATTCATAGAACGATTTCAAGCAAAATGCACTCGTTTATTCCCTAGTTGCGTATGCATCTCTCATAACGACCACAGTTGCATAACTGACGATCAGAATAAAAGAAGGTCTCTGTTAAAATATTTATGATTTGTTTTAGACAGCTAAACTGACACAACACACTGTGCCTGTTATTTGCAATATTCGTGTTTTGTTGAAATATTATAATTCATGCAAAAATATACATACATGCACATTTGATAAAACGTAATTGCATTTAATGGACGATTGCTGTCGAATTGAAGCTGATTTATTTTCAATATAAATTTAAATTTTATTTTTAATTTATTTTGAAGACCTGATATTTTTACTCTTCTTCGAAATTTTTTTACGAAGAAACTGTAACAGTTTTAGCATCAGAATTTTGCGTACATATTTATTCATATTTTAGAAACATTCACAAATTTTTTTAAAGAAAATGAATCAAGATTGACGATAGTGTGAGCTCTCAAACATAATCGCTTAACTTAACACGTGCAATTATAAAATAATGTAAAAATAATTAACAGAAAAATAACTAAAAATTTATTCTTACTGCAGCGTAACTAAAGTTTTGTTTTAATTAATAAAAATACAAAAGTAGTGCGGCGACCGCCACGGGGGGCCCTAGCACTTAGGCCTGGCGACTTCTGGCCCTCGAGGCGAAGAATCAAGAGATGTTTTTCCAAACATCTCCGAGTTTCTTCGTCCTCGAGGACAAGAGTATTGTGCCCCCACTTCCTGGGACTTTCCCAGGGAAAAGGGGTTACTTAAGGGAGCCCCGAAAATGGCACGAGGCTTTTTGTCGTAGACCTTTCTACGCGCATCGTGCCACCTTATATTTAAAATTAGTTTAAGTATTATCGGTTGATTAAATATATTTTTGTTAAACAACTTCCCGAGTAATCATTTACACCACGTCACTTCCAAAATAGAAAGTAGCTGTAGCAAAATTGACAAAATCTTTGCTAAACTAAGTTTCAACTCCTTAACTTGAACTCACCTAATATTGCATTAATAATTTAATCACGTTGATTTTTCTAACAAACCACGTATATCACAGAGACAAATAGCAGTGCCAATTCTTTATCCAGAAGAATATCAAAAGCTAAAGGTACACGGTGTATTGAAACACCTGTTGTCAATTCCCCTGCATCTTTCACTGGAAGCGTTCCTGTAGCAATAATAGTAAGCATAAAACGTGATATTCAAGGGAAAGAACAGTGGAATCTGTGTCTGTTAATCGATGAATTCTTCGTAAGTGTACTGCACGCATATCAAACTGCAGTGTTACGTGTGCTCCACGTTACATAAAGCCCGAACGATTCCTATAGATACTTTCTATAGCATCCTTTGAGTCTCAGCGATCTCTCGATGCCTTGCACGAAACTTCAGGCTAACTCAGTGCAGGAAGTATATACCCAGTGTGTATGCATTCGTGTGTGTGTGTGTGTGTGTCTACATAAATGCACAGACCTCTTTTCGTGGTGTTTCTAGCCTCGTATTCGGAAGTAGCAATCCCAGTATCAAGCAACCTTTCGTGCCTGGATATGGGAACAGAAAGAGAAATGTGGAGGAACGATGCCGGCCGCGTATCTTTCGAAATAACGGATGAAATTATTTGGAGAGTTCGTGGGATATATTTTTAGTGTAATTGGAATTAGGTCGTTGCATACGAAAGTTGTGGGTTGCTGGAAAAAATTTATTATTATTTTTAATTAAGAAAGGAAATAATAGAGGTGATTGGGTTATTTGGATCACCCTGTATATTAATATCGGAATTGTTTGGATAATATATGTCAAGGGGATATTGGGTCTGTGACACGAATGCCTAGCAAAGTAATTTTTGAGAAAAAAATATTCTAACCTTTTGTATGCATTTAAGCTCACTTTGTCAGGGTTCGAATGACGCTATCAATGTGTCACACTAATCACTGATAGTGTGTCATTTGAACTCTGACGAAGTGAGCTTAAATGCCTGCGAAACGTTGGAATACCTTTTCCATAAGGACACGGTTTACATTCAGAAGTCTCAGCAATAATAACTATAATTTCTCAAATTTTGTTCTTTATTTTTTTATTTTTAAAATAAAATTTGAGAAATTTAATTAAAATTTGTACGGCATAGTTAACCATTAGGGCCAGGAGGCAAAGTTTAGAAATTGCTTTACGAATCTTTCATCAATCGAAATTGTGATCAGCATAAATCACCCATTTCGAATTTCACACGTGGAGAAGAATTAGATTAGAAGCATCTGAGGAGATATGAATGCTTACCAATTAAATATGACATCGAAACGTGATAATTTTATCAACGAGGTTGTTGAGAAAAGTTTGTAACAATAATTATGAAATATAAAATTCTCGATACACCCGATGAAAGTTTCCAACTAGAGCCAGTTTAACTCTGAACATATAGGAAAACCCTCTGTGAGCGCCTACAACAATCCCGTGTTCACGATCTCTTTCGCTGATCTGTCTGACAACGTAGTCGCTGTATCTAAATCTGTACTCAACTCAGGTACATCGCAACAGAGAAAGAACTGTCACATGGTTAACAGAAAATATCTATCCTGCGAGATTACACTCTGAAAGTAAAGGAACTGGAAAAATGGTGGATAAATTGTTAGGTTCTTTAAAATAAAGAATGTTATTGATTTATCGAAGAAAGTGTAAAGCACATGAAACGATATTTTACACATGTTTTATTGTTAAAAATTTCTGGATAAAAAAATAGAACTTATTTTAATTACAAAAGTTTGTTCAGCGCCAAGTGCAAAAGAAATAAATTCTAATTTGCACTGTAAGTGTTTTCGGGAAGAAATTCACGTGGAAAAAGATCATTTCTACAAAATGCAAATTGGTTGTTCATTTTTTTCTTTAAATAATAAATAAAAATTCAGCATAAACATCAACGTACTATATTTACACGCATAAAAATACATAGTATAATAACTGCAATATAAATACACAAAATATCAACCAAAATCGCAAGAAAAAAAAAAATTTCTTCCCTAAAAATGACACTTTTTTGAACGTTCTACGAACAACAATTTTTTTCCATTCCTGTTACTATTCAATTCGACAAATAGAAATACTTTTTGATCGACCGTCATTAGACGGAAAGGCAAGGAAAACTTGGCTTACAGACAGATTTGCCGTTCGTTCTCGTCGCTGATTAAATTAAGACGAGAGCGAGTATAGAACTCCGCCATTTTGCTCGATCGATTGAATTTCTTCTGAAGAAAATCAACTTGAACTCTGTTCGGTCGACCGTACCAGAGATTAGTAGTCAACGGTAGCTTGTGACCTTTATTCTCTTTAGAGATTTCCAACCAATAGAGGTTTGGCTTAGTACGATCGCATCGTGGTTTACCAGGATCGAAACCTTCTATGCTGTGTAAACGTTCGTATGCCGATTTCGCGCTGTCCTCTTTGCGATTGTTATAATATGTGATCGAATGCCTTGGGGCGAACGGTTCTAACTGAAATCAATTCTTTCTCCGAGGATCTATGTACAGGGTGGTTCTTAAGTGCGTGTCAATAGTTTCGGAGTTTGGACGAAAAGTCAGAAATGGAAAGAAAAATGTTCTATGAGCTTTACATAAACTTCAAAATGTCCAAATTTTTTTGTAATTAGAAATAATTCCTTTATTCGCAACTAACTTTCTTTGCGATATATGTTTTCGTATTTTAGCGTAACCTAACCTCGCTTAATTTAATCGAACCTAACCTATCCATCGCATAAACTGTCCAAACTTTATTTTTTGATTGGAAATAATTGTTTTATTCGTAGCTAACTTTTTTTCACGATTTATTTCTTCTTTTGTTATATTTGTATTTTAGTGTAACCTAACCTCGCTTAATTTAATCTAACCCAACCTATCCATTGCATAAATTGTCCAAACTTTATTTTTTGATTGGAAATAATTGTTTTATTCGTAGCTAACTTTTTTTCACGATTTATTTCTTCTTTTGTTATATTTGTATTTTAGTGTAACCTAACCTCGCTTAATTTAATCTAACCCAACCTATCCATTGCATAAATTGTCCAAACTTGATTTTTTAATTGGAGATAATTTTTTATTTGCAGCTAACTTTTTAAAATGATTTATCTATTCTTTTGTTATATTTGTATTTTAGTGTAACCTAACCTCGCTTAATTTAATCGAACCTAACCTATCCATTGCATAAATTGTCCAAACTTGACTTTTTAATTGGAGATAATTTTTTATTTGCAGCTAACTTTTTTAAACGATTTATCTATTCTTTTGTTATACTTGTATTTTAGTGAATTTTGTCTATTAATTTAATAACAAACTAGACACAATTTGTTGTCTAATGTACACACAATTTCTGCGTTATAACGCTGCACCATAATTTACAACGAAGAATACTAACAACGTGACACTCCTCCCAGATTAATTTCCATCTCTGACACTTTTATTCCTAGGATTACATTACACACACAACCAGAGACAATAATATCTAACCTCGATACAAAAAATTTCTAATATAACAATTACATTCTCTCAAATATTTCGACAAAATTACATCCTACGAGTCACAATCCGAAATATCAACAGGCACTTAAAAATCCACATAGAAAATTGCAATTTAATTTAACCCGAACTACTTAATGCCAGAGAAGCTACAATATAATAACGATACATACACTACCGGCCAAAAGTTTGGGATCACCTGCTACTAATTCTTCGTAAACCTGAAATTTATGTTGTGGAAACCAATAGCACTTGACCTCATTTCGATTGATTTGAATGACAAAAGGTTCCTTAAAAAATTCTTAAAATTGCTAACTTTTTTTTAGAAAATTTTGTGTAACTTACAATGAACAGTGATTCGAAACATTTGGCCGGTAGTGTATATGCCAAATATCCAAAAAAGAAAATTTCACGCTGAATAGTAAATTTTCAACCGTACAGCGGTGGAGAATTGTTTTTTCGTAACTCACGGGGTAGTCTTGGTTCCGCCGTGAACGTACCACTTTCAGAATAGAGCGGTCAATGAGCGCCGTTCTCTCGACATTAATTATTAAGCTCCCCTTTTTCGTTTCGAGAGTCCTCTTACCACGGGATATTGCTTGGACGCCTTCCGAATGTGCTGCTCCGCCGCCCGCATCCGAACCCACGGAATAATGTATTCCGTCTGATGCATTTTCTTATCTCTCTTATCTTTATCATGGGGAACGATTTACGATCGTGGGAATTAACTAGGAATTTCCGGGTGTTTCGGGACAGAAAGCGTGCCTTTCGACGGACGTCGCGGAATAAACTGAAGGTGTCGCGTCTCGTGAAACAAAGGACGCCGGAAAAGAAAATGAAACTCGCCGGGTTGCCCGAGTGTATATACCAGCCGGGGCATTTAAAAGGATTGAAAGTATTGTTGGGGAATGAAATTGTGCAGTCGCTGAAATACGTGTAGTCGTAAGAAAAAGATCGATTAGACGTTACATTTTTTTTCTAATTTATTAAACATTTTGGAATTCTTTTTTTAAAACACTACTTTTTTTTCAAATTTTGGTAGTGCTATATTTTTGCTGGGGTTAATGCTATTTGGTGTAGCAGTACTTCACTAAAATTGAAGATTATTTCAATAATTTTAGGTTAGGTTAACTTAACCTCTTGACTACTTTTGACGAGTTCTTTTTTCAAAATGGAGAATGACAAATCTAACTCGCCACTCAGTTTCAAACGCTATTTAACAATTTTCCTTATTTTTGAACAGTATAGAAAATTAATATCAATTACATTTGTAACTTTAATTTATAAATTTTTCGAAATTAAATCAGTACGCAAATGGTTACAAAAATTATCCAAATAAGTTTTCTTTAATTAAATAATTCATTTGGTTTTTCTAATGTATTCTTCTAAATATTTTGCTTGCACAATTTTTTATATCATTTTGCAATTACTTAGACCAATTTTTTATGATTACTTGAAAGATCGACATGGCAACGCAATTCATTATTACATTGTGTAACGTCGATAAAATTCACACAAAAAATAACGAAGACAGCGTACAACATTTGCAAGTTTCTAAAGCTAGAGAGATATTTAGATCCTTCGTTCTATGTAGCAACGTCCCTAAGAGAATTCGTATCGGTTTGCCAGTCAAGCCCAAAATGAGCTTTACGTTCCTCCACCGTTATTTAACAAGTACCATGATGCGCCATCTCACGAACTGTACAACAAGTTCTCCCAGGTAAATCATTAGTTCGTCGATTTTATGCTGTGCGGCGCTGCTTGTATAATTCCCACTAATTTTCACGGCGGCGAATATAATCGAAATGAAATTAATTAAGAGGCCGCTCTTAATTAATTAGATTCGAGAACGCCCGATAAGCTGTAGCACAGTTTTCCCTTCCGGTTCCGGCTTTCGGTCAACTTTCATTAATTTCGTCGCGAGATTCATTCGATTAGAGAGTTTCACTCGATCAACACGTTATTTCTACTGCTTCCCTTCTAATGTATTTATTTCTACCTGTTCGAATGCTCGTTAAACGTTCGTAGAAAACGTTCCGCTACAATTTTCTCCTAGGCACAGTACTTTCAACCGTAACTTAAGATCTCAAATATTTAGATACACGAAACTGTACAATTTTCTAAGATTCCGACAAAATATTAGCTTCCTTTTCATAGAATATCAGTTAACCTAAAAAAAAAAAGTAGCAAATCGTCGAAGAAAGGTTAGGTTAGGTTAGGAAAGAAGTAAAAATCTAGCAACGTTTTCCCCTTGACAATAACAAGTTCGGTAAGAAATTTAACGTCTCCTTGTACGTCTATCATTGAGATAGCTTCTCCTGTTTAACTCGAGGACCGTTAAGCGTAGAAATAAGGAACCATAAAGGGGAAAAGAGCGAAGAGTTATTTCTCGCTATTTCAGTTCCCCTTTAACACGTGATAATTCTATAAAATAGATCTAAACGACACGTGCGTATACGAGATTGAAATGCAACGGTGTCTAAAGTATCCCTTTGCGTGAAATAAAATTGTACATATTAAGAAGATGGTACGTCAACGATTCCCACTGTGAGCGATCATCTTTTCACGTATACGCGCAATGTTATGCAATGACCAAGTCCCACGGTTCATCGAGGACAATGTCGCATGCATTCAACACTGTTACAGCAAAAGGGCAGAAGTATTCCCGGGGGGAACTTTTTCATTCGCTCCCATTTCCGAGCAAAATGTCGCCTGCAGTAGCATCTGCAAGTAACAATGTACAGAGTGTGTCGGAAAAAACGTTCCAGTCTATATTGTTCGCTAGAGTCAGATAAGACGATTCGTTAAATTCTGAAACTTCGCGAATTCTGTTCGAATTTTTTTTTAAAGAAAAAGCGTTTAGTAGAAATATTCGAAACTAAAATTAATAATATTCGAGAATTAAAATTGACGAAGAAATACCAAAGCTATTATGGAGGTTTAGGAAATTTTCATTAAAATTCATATTAATTAGAGAGGATTTATAGAAATTTTAGGAGAGGCTGGAAGTTCCGATTTTGAGAAAATATAAAAAATGACCGGAAAATGGTGTAATTAATTAATTTACTGTTAAATTTATCGTGTTTTAAGATTTCTGCCGTACCTAAAATTTCAACACCCGGTGTATTCAGAGATATTATCCTTGACAATGAATTATTCTCACTTCTGTACATTTTATCGACGATTGTTTCAAAATAGACATCTCTTCCTTAACGCGCGCTCCAATAGGAGAACTACAGAGACGCCGAAAATGATTCTCTAGATAAACCGTACGTTGAATTTGTAGGTCAACATTTAAGGTGGGACGCCTTGGAAACTACCGTGAAAGCTTCCATATACTGCACCGACGCATTTGCGTAATTTTCATTTACATCGAGCGCCGGTTCGTCGAGTTCGTTACGACGCACATCGCGTCGAGGCGAGTCTAATCAAACTGAACCGAACGCGGGACGCGGTTAATCGTCTAATGAAATTAGTAGAAACGGACGTCAGAGATTGGCAGAATTTCTGACCCATTCACCAGTCACGTTCTGGCTGTTTACCGAACAGAACCTGTGATTCCTACCATAGTTTATTTTATTTATTTTCCTTCATTCATCTTATAACTATTCAACATTTTTCCCTTTTGTTTCTTTTTTAAGGAAAATCGTTTGATCGAAATACTAGAAAAATGTGAAATCAAGAGAAATCGTTTCAGAGGTTTATGGGGTAGTGTGAAAGGTGGATTATGGAGGTTCAGGGAATTCTAATTGAAATTCAACGTGGAAAGCGAAAAGTGTGATCTAAATTTTCTCGAATCGCCGGAGAACGATTAACCCTAATTTCTAATAGTGCCGAAATTAAAATATCACCCAGAGATCTATGAGACGGAACAGTGTAAGGGGTAAACTATGGAGGTTCAGGGAACCCTAATTGAACTTCAATCTAAAAAACGAAAAGTGTGATCTTCATTTTCAGGGATCGTCAGACAACGATTAACCCTAATTTCTAATATTGCAAAATTGAAAATATCATCCAGAGATCCATGGAAGAAAACGGTATAAAAGATGAACTATGGAGGTTCAGGGGATTCTAATCGAAATTCAAAATTCATTTTCTCGAATCACCAGAGAACGATTAACCCTAACTCCAAATATTGCAAACATCAAAATATCGTCCATAGATCCACCCAAGAGAAAACTCCAACAAGCATTCATAATTCCCCGCTTTCCTCAACTCGTCCGAAACGAGCGAGTATCTCGCGCAAAGTGGAAAAGTGGCGGTGGCAGCGAAGGAAAGCATTTGTCTTGCGAGCTCCTCGGTCCTTTACGATTCCATAGAAAAGGGTAACGCCGTTCCCTAATCTCGAGTGAACCATCTCGAGCGTAGTAACGAATCGGGAATAAGAGAGGCATTTGGTCAACTCGAGCGTATTTCTCTACTGTGGCGAGGAGATCGCGAGCAAGCAAACGGATATGGTATCGGTGATCCTGTAACTCTTCTCTCCCGCCTTACTGAACGCCACGAGAACGGTCGAAGCGGTCCAAGAGCAGAGGGAAAAAGGGGTGATCGTGATGAAAGGAGAGAGAAGAGAACCAGAGAAAAGAAGGAACATGGTAAGAAAAGAAAAGGGAAGATGGTGAATAAGAAGAAGAAGAAGAGAGAGAGAGGGAAGGAAGGTGAGCTGTTGGATCATAGAACGAATGCAGAGAAAGACAGAGAGAAGAGATGATACTAAAGGAAGGGGGTAACGGGAAGTGGGAGGTGGAGGTGGTGTAGGTTAAGACAGAGGGGAGTAAAGGGGTATGTCATACGACACACAGGGCAGAGTTTAATCAGGTTCGACTAGTTAGTTGGCAGGTGCGAGCATCGCGCGCGCGCAGAAAGGAAAACCAAGCGGCCTCCAAGAAGCAGCGTGGCTCCTGCGTGCTGCTACTCTAAGCAAGAAATGTACAGGCTCCGGGACGGACTGATGCCACCGGACGCACAATACCACAGACAAGAGTGGTCTATCTTCGTCCCCTTGCTCTCTCTCGTCGCTCGCGTTTCTTTCTGGCTCGGACTCTTTATCTGACCAATTCCGTTCTTCTTTCAATGGTCTCGTGCGCGGCCACATTCTACGCCGTGTTCTCACAGTCATTAAATGGTTATAATTTTAACTGCCGCTCTTTACGGGGAATTTCTTCCACCCTTTAGGAAACACACGTGATGTGTCAAATAGATCGGTTGGAAATGTATTAGGTCAACCTGAATATTTCTGTTGCGGTAAAAGGGAATTACAGTGTATTTAAACACCTTATTTACGGGGGGTCGTTGGAAATAAATTGGAACTGGCCTGTGAAATCGTTCTTTTAACATCTTAACGCTCACATTTTTCTCAACTCGATGTGACAAAGATGATCAATTTCATTTTTTTTTTTTTTTCATTATTTTCTAGGCGTGTAGGAGTAAGTTTTCCATTTGTTTAGAACGCTGTGCTTACAGTTTTGTCGTGGAGTAGAAAAGATAGCGCAATCTGAAAGGTGGAGAAAACTAATTCAAGAAAATTGCACTTTTAGGAGTGCATAGAGAAAACTGAGAAATTTTTTTTTTTTTTTTCATTATTTTCTAGGCGTGTAGGAGTAAGTTTTCCATTTATTTAGAACGCTGTGCTTACAGTTTTGTCGTGGAGTAGAAAAGATAGCGCAATCTGGA